CCCGCCCGCCCCCCTCCCCTCCCAGCTGTCACCTATCTTAACAGAATAATTGAATTGAGGAGGGGAGGTCAAAGCCAGCCCCTATTTTTGTCCTCACCTACCTAGGATCCCTGCGGTGCTGTTGGCGAAAGTCACTTTTGAGTGTGTTGGATTTAGTGAGGCGTTTCATCCGAGAGGTATATGTATATCCCCAGTTTACCCTCCCACACCCACCACCCTCCTCCCACCCTCCCTTACAGAGACACACAGGGCGTGGGGGGAAAGGGGGCCATCCGCTGAGTGGAGGATCAAGGCCAGTCACATCCCTCCAGCTCTTGTTTCTCCCCCACAATCTGGGCAGTGCAATGAGTTCCCCAGTAACCCTCCCCTACATTAACCTAAAAGACAAACAGAGGAACGGAGAAAATAGATTAAAATCACATTACATGAACAACTAGTAAACGCAGAGCTGGTGTGAATGGTTCAGGGGATAAAAGGATGAAGCGGTGTGAGTGAAAAGTGTGATTCTGGATCAGAAAATATATTTTGGGAACAGAATGTATCACTGCTTATCAATGAGCTGGGATTTTCATCACTTCCAGAAAGGGGGCCTGGGGGTAGGTTGTTGGGAAGTTTGTAGAACATACCTAACAGGTTGGTGTCCTGTGTGGACCAGGGGGTGGTTGGTTAGACGCCGTAGCAGGCCGACAGGCGCTCCTTCAACAGAGGAGGAAACTGCTCAGAGAACTGCTGCCAGTTCTCTTCCCCAACCTGGTCCTTGAAGCCATGCAAGATCTTGGAAAAGAAAACAGAAAAACAGTCATGGAGGCCTGTAAGTGAATATCAAAAATAGTAGGTTTAAAGATGAATTTGAGGTGTAATTGCGCTGAGTGGACAATCAACGTTCAGGGGTGGGGTTAAACAAACAATGGATGTTGGTCATTTACCAACACCCACTGGAAACAGTTGATTACCTCAGCTACTAAAAACAAACCTATGTATATTATATATAATAGATCCTCCTAAATGTTTTATACTGGACCTTTAAGTAACAACTGCTCTGCCTCCCCAAACAGCAAGATCTACCCGCACGTCTCAGATTTAAAAATCATCCACACCTTGTAATCAGATTTCGAATGTCTGATAAGTGATCATCACAGAGTGTGGGTGAGCCAGAGCTACACTTGGGGAGGGATCATTTCAATTAAACACCAAGTCATCTAAAATAATAAGATCCATCCATCAAGCTCAATGTGTCTGACAAGATGGGATCAGGGATATGGTATGAGGCACTCACCTTATAAAACATGTCCCTCAGGTCATCCTTGGGGTTGACCCAGGAGGCCACAGCGTCACAGAAGAAAATGAAGTCCTGGACAGGAAGAACTTGTTAGTTCATTACACAGTGAGGCTTATCCATCTAACCTCTGTAGCTCCAACAGATTTAAAGCCCCTCGTCTCACCTGAACCACCCCTGCAGGGTTGACGCCTATCATCACACAGATTCCCCGGAAGGCCGAATCCTTCTCCTCGTTATCTCTGATGTTCCTCAATGATGTGCACCTGAGAAGAGATAGACCAAAGTGGAAAGTATTAAATTAAATCGCTCCTCTGCAATGAGACTTTAAATTACTCAAGTTTCCCCTTGCTATTGTAAGTTTTTTCCCCACTGCTTCCTTTCCATTTCTTCTTTCTAGAAGGACACTTTCTCCTCCTTTCTAAACTCATAAGTTTATTCCTACATAGCACATAAAGGAGGGCTACTTGGATTCGATCTAGAAAAGAAATTAATATATTTATTCTAAATCATTAAGCTAGGTATTTCGTGACATTCCGATTATGTTCACACATGCGACTCACCATGGTCTAATGAATTGCTGCAGCTGTGGCGCCACTTCCTGGGGACAGACGTAACCCAGCCTGCCAATCGTAATGGCTGCACAAAAGAAAAACAATTCACCTTAGCTCTTAAAATCTGACCATCAGATGCTTTACAATGTTTGAAACAAACTGATTCTGTGCGTGTAGGGCCATGTGTGTACCTGTGTTTTCCAGCAGAGTCTTGGGTGTGTTGGGTCTATTGATGATTTCCACAAGGTGTGGCAGAACCATGCCCACATAAGGCTGCATCTCTGCACCTGAAGACACACAGTGAAGAGCAAGCACGCCATCAAACATGTGAACAAACAGTCAAAATATTACACTTTTAACTTTGATGCCCATCAGGCTTGAGACGCTGATCGCCACCCACCAGAAAGAGGAGCACAGAGAAAAACTAAGACAACTCATGTGAAATAAGCAAACCTGTTTAACTATGGCAGATCACCAACTCCATTAGTAAGAAACTGACTGAGAAGCTTTAATGGCCTTTAAAAAGTCTGGTCTGGACAGTAATGGTTAGACAGAGTGCTTTATCCATTGATTGCTGCTGCAGAGTGAGCAATATTCTGTTCACTATATCTCCTTTTGTTACAGGATGAATTCAACCCGTACAACAGCTGCCATCGTTGTGTTAAGGTGTCCACAAATTCAATTGCATCAACAAAGGCAAATGTGGCCTGAGTGAAACTAAAATAACTGTTCATTCTTTTAGCAGATAGTATAAAAAAAAAAAAGGGGGGCAAGTCTCAACATCTGTAAAAGAAAAATCTCATTTGATTGTGCAGTCTTTGGTCTGAAAGACCCGCTCACCAGGACAATCCCTTGTTTGCTGCTTGACACTTGTGCCTGTAAGGAGATCACACAGAGTGTCACTGGGCTGACTGGGTCATGTGCAGTGGCTTACCAGGCATGCATCCACGCACACACATGCTCACACAATATGCAAGCAAAATAAGGCTGTTTTTTTTTTTTTTTTTCAGTGCTGCACCATTTGATGGCACAAGTGCTAAGACAGACCAAAGAGGAACAGCACACTGCATGACCCACTTTCACAAATCAGGCAAGGTTCGCCAAAATCCTAATTGCATATAATGGACTGAAGAGGATTTGTACATGGAGCGCTTTGGTAGCCGAATGGTTACAGAGCATGGCCACACAGTTGCTACAATCTTCGGTTTGTTTCCAGCTGGCAACCTTTTCTGCATATCATAACCCTCTATCTCTGTTTCCTTTCTGATTCTTCCCCTGTCCAATAAAGGCAAGAATTGGCAATAAATAATCTTGTACAGCTACAGACAACTGTTCTGCCAGGAGCGAACTGCAGAAAAACCTGCATGCAAAACTAATCTGTGCCACCTAGAGAAACATGAGGATGCATGAGGTGTGCGACATCTGGATCAGAAAATAATAGGAACAAAATGTATCATTGTGTGTCAATGAGCTGGGTGTTTCATCATTTCCAGATACTGGGCACTTTTTTTTCAGGGAATGCAACAATTTCTAAAAACAAAGCAAAAAACAAAGCAAAAACAAAACTCACCCATTTGCATGGAGATCTCTCCAATGGCCCAGGTAGCATTGTTACACACTGAGATAAACTCTGGGTTCAGGTTGAGCCCCAGGATGGGCATGAACTCAGCTGATGGGAAGACATGGACACACAGTGGTTACAATACAAGCAATATACAGAGAGTAAAGGAACGGTGAAGTTAGTCAATCTACTTGTGGACCGAATTACTCAGCGCTTTGATGAAGCACACTCACCAATGCAGGGCTTAACATGGAGGAAACATGCCTTGGTTAGATCACCAAGCAGAGCGAAGGAGCTTTGCCTCACCTCAGGCATAGTATCCTGCAACACGAACCAGACACCAGAGTGTTATACATGTACAATAAATATACCACATGCATAAATATATGGAAATAAATTGCAAAACACACTCCCTCATACCTGCATGCACTGGAAAAGCAATGTCATGATGTTTGAGCGGGCCACTAGCTGTTCCACATGACCCCCCAAACCTTCAGCCAGTCCGCTCAGCAGGTCCAAGGCCACAATCATAAAATCCTTGTCAGGAGCCTCATACTGGTCTGGATGCTGGTTGTACATCTGTACACACAGAACATACATTTTTAATCAAATTTAAGCATTTTTCAAGTACTTTCAAAACCAAACATTTCCAGACTCTCAAGAGCCTTTATCATCACATCATTACTATAAAAGGTAACTGAGAAAAATAAAGCTTACAGAATACTTTTAGCTAGCTGTTCTAAGCTATGAATGATAAGTGAACACGCCAGGAGACAACAACTATGGAGACAAGATTGTGTCATTTCAAATACTAAAAAGATTTTTGGTTTACATGGGTGATTTTGTAAATGAAACACCAGATTATGTCGAAAATCAAGCATTTTTCAAGGAGCACATTCAAATTCAAGCATATTCCTACCCCTGAAGACAAGTTTAAAATTAAGCACTTTCATGACTTTGTATGAACCCTGTAAATTTTATGTATGCATGCGTTTCCACTCACCATTGCCTGAGCTAGTGTCTTCTGGACTAGTGTGACACAGCGCTGATAGACAGGTTCACAGTAAGGCAGGAAGCCACTCTGCAGGGCGGTGGCTACTGACGACAGACACTGGAAAAAACACAAAGATGACTTGTAGAAACACAGCAATGTACAGTTTGTTGCCCGCACAATAAATTACCTAAAAAGTAGTCAAAACCTTTATTAAAGTAATTGTTTTTGGCAGGAGAGACTCCTTAAAGCAACTGTGATTCTATTGTGTTGTTTCAGTGTGAAAGAACGATCTGAAATAGATTTGTTAACGACTACAGCGATAAGACAACTGTTCTACCAGGCGTTAACTGTAGTGTTCTGCCAAGAACCACGATTAAAAAGGACAAAGGAAAGACAAAGCCAGTGTGGTTTACACAGCCCTGCAGACCAGTTTGCGTACAAGCACTATGTAAACCTGAATGCACTCAGCATGAGGTGTGCGACATCTGGATCAGAAAATATTAGGAACAAAATGTATCATTGTGTATCAATGAGCTGGGTGTTTCATCATTTCCAGATACTGGGCACTTTTCAGGGAATGCAACAATTTCAAAAAACAGGTTTTCAGTCACTATTTGTAGACGGTGGGAACAAAAGTTTGAAAGAGCAATTATAATGTAAAAAGAGTTTTCAGAAAAATGTGCCTGACTGAATAAAAACATCCTGTAGTGCCTTACAAATAAACTTCTCACCTCTAGTAGTGGGAAGAGATCTTTGTCTTCATCCTTCAGCTCATTCCACTTGGCAATAAGTGGGGGCATCAACTTCTGAATGTACTCCTGAGAAACAATATAAACACCAAGTTTTTGTTTTTTTTCCTCATTTTTTGCTGAGTTGGATGAGAAGATTGTTCTTGCATATGGTGAAACATGCATAGCGCAGGTCTAAATTAATTTCACAGGCACTTACAGGCTGATTAAGGTGGTGACCCACTGAGTCTGCCAGAGTTCCTATGGCATCGTAAAGAATAAGGAGATTCTTGTGCTGGTACTTCCCAAACGCAAACACCAGCGTGTCCAGGATAAAGCTCAGGTATGGCACCAGCTCTGTGCATGCTTCCTCCTCCAGGGTGGCAAACGCACTAAGAAAGGCAAGATGGAGAAAAGGGGGGCATATCAATATTAAAAAATAACAAAAATGCACCGTCCTATATACATGTATTTCAGTTTAAGAATGATAATATGGGATGTGGATCAGAAATTATAGGAACAAAGTGTATCATTGTTGATCAATGAGCTGGGTGTTTCATCATATCCACACACAAAAGACAGGAGGAGTGTGAAGCTGCTCACCTGCAGGCAGCCTCCTGCACCCTCTTGTTGCCGTCCAGTATACGTTTAAGAAGCTCTGTCATAAGCGGTTTGAGGTAGGAGTCGGGCGGCTGGGAGACCACCCAATGTGCATAACGACTCAGGGTCCAGCAGGCAATGGAGCGCACGAGGGCCTTTTTGTCGCATAGACACTGGATGAGGTGGGGGATCAGCTCCGGCAGGTAGGGCACCATGCCCTGCATGCAACCTGATGGTCGGAGAGGAGTGAATAAGAAAATTACAAGGAGTGTAACAGTGTGAGGTTAGCCAATTTAAACATATATTAGTCTCTACTGTAATACGCAGATATACTTTGTTAACTTGCTGCACTGGGCCTTAATTATGATCTCAGTGCTGATGGGTACATAGTTGCACATGAGCCTTTTATATCTTGAATTGCAATGAAGAGCCTAAGTGCCACATTCTCATCAGGGTCCTGGGTCTCTGCAGCATGTACAACAGGAAATGAGAAAAGTACGCGCAGAGTAGAGGAGGAAACACAGCGCAGCACATTGGCATATCTGGATCAGAAAATATAGGAACTTTGGGTATCATTGTAAATCAATGAGCTGGGTTTTTCATCATTTCCAGATGCAAAAATTGTTCTCCCACATCTATCTACATGGACATATAACAGGTCCAACGCTGTTGAATAACGTTCAAATAATTTGTCTGTGCCTGTGAACAAGCAATTACATAAGGCACTTAAAATAACAGGGATTAGAGAAAACAATCTGTGGGATCTCTGATAAGAAATCTCTTGTTTTGGTGACAACTTACCCTCAGCTATAGCCCCCAACACCAGGATGCCAGACTCCTTGATGACCCAGTCGGGGTGGAAGAGCAGGCCTTTCAGGAGAGGCAGGAGGTGTGGCAGCAGCTCGTCGCGGAACACGTTCGCCAGCACGTCCAGTGCTGCAGCTGAACACTTTCCTACATCAAAAAAGAAAAACCCATTTACAATCTCCCTTAAATCCTCAACCTGCTGTTTTATAAATCAGGTGTTTCAGTTTTCTTAAAACTAAATATACTCGACACCTGAGCTATCCAAACAAGGTTTTCCTCTCCAGTGCTTTTCTAACATTCTACTTTTATTCAAATGAATGTGCAACCTGCAGAGAGAGGCGTGAAAGACTAGAGAAGATACGCCAAGGACACGAGGTGGATTCAGACCTAAAGCCTGACAAAATTTACAACAGCCTGCAAAGTCAACAGGAAGCCTCTTTCCACATTTTGGCAAATCACTGTAACAGCATTTCTCAATCACTTACGCAGGTTCCAGTCAGACAGCGTGTCGTCATCATCGTCATCATCTTCTTCAATGTCCTCACCCTCCTCGCCCTCCCCTCCTTCGTGCTGCAAGGTGACTGTGCGCGACTTGTGGAAACGGGGCTTGATGTCCTGATCACTATCCGGAACTGCCTCGTCCTCCTCCACATCTCCCTGGACAGACACAAATTTTACTTCAGCTATGTATCATATGAAAGCATATTTCTAAACGAGTAGGTCTTGTAAAACAGTACAAGAGGAAAGAGAGCTTACCTTTAATAGTATGATGTCTATCTCTGAATACTTCATCCCGTTTACCAAGATGGGTATCAGTCTATATTGAGGAGGAGAGAAGGAGGAGACTTGCTTGGTGAAACAGCCAACAAGTCATTAAATACCACATGAACAAGAAGAACGAGTAGAAGAGGGCAATAAGTGCAACCTACATCATAGATTAGGTATAAAAAAATATTAAGGAACAGCTTGGTTGTAGGGAAATTTGACATTTTGACCATGGTATCAACTTCCAAATTGTGGAATTTCACGGGTATCGGTATAGACTATTAAATATCTAGTATCGTGACATTTAAATCTTTAAGCACAAAAGAATAGATCACACTAGCACAGATCAGATGTCATCTTGCATAATCAGAACAAACAATACAGTATCAGTAGTTAATATGCCACTCACTGCACCAGGTGTCCGGACAGCATCTCCTTACAGATGGGTTGCTCTGCCAAAGTCAGCCAAAATTCACAGGCCTCCAGAGCCACGTTCTCATCGGGGTCCTGGGTTCTCTGCAGCATGTACTGCAGGAGATGAGGGAAAAAAACAAACAAAAAAAAAAAACGTGTGAGCTGACACAATATCAAAAAATAAAGTGGTGACTGAAAGAAAACCACGAAAACTGTTATGCAACCGAGTAGCACACAGCCAAATCTGGATCAGAAAATATAGGAACTATGGGTATCATTGTAAATCAATGAGCTGGGTGTGTCATCATTTCCAGATGCAAGACGGACTTCCACATTTAACTATGCAAACGTACAACAGGCCTACAGCTGATCGGGAGGTGTTTCTAACACTTACCTGGATGATGCTGTGCATGTGGGGGATGAGGCGGTCGATGCGGACCTCCAGCAACATGACCAGGGCTCGGCAAACGTTCTTCCGAACCTCAGAGTCCTCATCTGCTGCCAGCGCAAACAGGCTCTAGTAAGGGAGATGAGAAAAAAAACAAGACCAAAATCATTTATAANNGGGTGGATTAAGTCCTGGTTCAATCACACAGCTCTGCTATACATACACACAGCTTACCTCTATGAAGGTGTCAATATTGTCCATTAGAGCCTGGGCTCTGCCAATGATAAACTGGTTTACACAGGCTATGGCATGGGACCTGCGGGGAGAAGAGGAACGTGTTAACAGTCGAGTCAACCTGAGAGGTGGATTATAGTTAAATAAATGTGATTTGTGTTCATACTGGGGGGAATAAGTAGACTATGCTTACAGGGTACCCTCTATGAGTACTATTCGCAATTAATGTCACTAACTAATTCACCAGTGTGAGGGGTAAAGTGAAAATCTGGATCAGACAGTATGAATACTAACACCTTCACAGTCAGTCAGATGTTATTATGCATCACACCCAGACACTAATGACAGAATCAGAAACCAGTCGCTTTCGTTCCTGTACCTAATCTTGGGGCTGCAGTGCTTGAAGAACTGAAGGAATTTGGGAATCATAATGTTGAGGGGTCTGTTCAGAGCGTCACTATCCAGCAGCTCCGACGAGTCCTCGCAGATCTTCTGCAGTGCTCCAAACGAGCCCTAAAACACGGACGTACACAGAGAGGCTGTCAAATCAAAACGCAAACAAACAGGACACAGGGGAGAGAACGAGGTTGCATCAGAAAATACAACCGCAGTACCGAATGCACTGTGCAGACTCAGCTAAATGTTTAAAGAAATGATTTTAGTCATATGTGCAGAACCTCTCTCAGTTAATATATTTTTCTCACAATGGATATTTTCATATTTCAAACACAATAGCTCATGTATTGGATTATGGACTTACTGTGTGTGTGAGTAGCAATAATTAATTACATTAGTACCACCGGTGCGTTCCCTATTGTAAATCAAAAATGTGATAAAAATGAACACATCACTAACTGTCAAGAGGCTGAAGAGGTGAAATGCTGCTCTGTTTAAGTCTCACTTGACAAATGATTTAAAATATTGGACGTTATTTAAAAAAATCCTAGTCTCCTGTTTTTTTTAGATTTCTTGGGATGTGTGGGAAGCCTGTTTAACATATTAAAAAAAAAAATCTATTTTTTGTTTTGTTACTTATTTCTTTATAGAGCTCTGGACACCCACACAGGTGTTTTCACTTATTTTGACTAATTAGACCTATTCTCAGGAGAAATGTACAAACTATAATTATTTGCCATCTCACCCTGTTAGCTTTGTTGTATCTACTGGGGTGAGTTAGTTTGTTGCTACATGTTTAGTCATTTCTAATATAAATATACATACTGATTAACCTGATCAGAGGTAACACATCTGTGTGTGTGTGTAGGTCTTAGAAGAAAACTAACCACCATATTTTTTACAGCACAAAAATATACAAAGGTAAGTGCAGACCTCGCAGGTGTTGTAGTCTTCTGAGTTGAGCAAGTTGCAGAGCTGGGGAAGAAGCTCTGGCCATGTTTGTAGCTCTCCCTTGGAGGCAATAGTAGTGATCAGGATGCCTAGAAGGACCGAGAGAGGAACAGAAGATGATAGACTTCAGATAGTGATTTATACATTAAAATGACCAGTTGCCTCTGCAGCAGCTCTGGATCAGACAGTATGAATACAAATACCTTCACTGACACTCAGGTGATTTTATGCATCATGTCCAGAGGGTAAGGAAGAAAGCGGGGGAGGAGTAGGTGTAATGGGTGTGTGGATGGAAGCTAGCCCACCAAAGTAACTGATGACTGAGAACGGCATTCACCCCACATGCTGATACAACGTCCACAAAACGCGCAAACTCACCGATGGTGGCACGAATGAGCGGCGATGGGTCGCCGATGTTGTTGAGACATTCCTGCTTGATGAAGTCTGCAACTGCTGGGGGGAAGTTCTGGTAGTGGGCCTTAACATTGTTCTTCAGAATCAGACCGCTCAGAGAGCGAGTCGGCTCATCTGAGGAGAAAGGAGGAGAAAACAATAAGCTACAAACAACCAATTGGTAATTAACTCAACTTCATTTATAGAGCCCTGTTCATACAAATATACAGCCCAAAGTGCCTTTAATGCACATTTGGAACACGGTTACCTCTATCCAGTATCTTAATAGCTAAGTCCTATTTATTAGTGAGGACTATTCAAATGTAGCTCGAAAATCTGAGTAAAATCCAACCTTTTCCTGTCCAGATATCAGTTCTGAGTTCTACCTAAACTTGTAGTATTGGTCAATACAAAAAAAAACCAAAAAAAAAAAAACCACAGATCTGACAAATTGCTTTTATTTGTATTTCGTGTGGAACTGATTGGGACTATTCTTAGATAAAGCAGCGTCCGCCTGTATATATATTTCTAGCTTTAATTAAACTTTAATTGTTGTGGATCAATGTTCTGGGTGTGTTATATATGGCTGAGCGAGGAAACGCACATCTCGCTGCTTACCTTCAGTTTTGAGTCGTGTGAGAACAAAGATGAGATAGTTGTTGAAGTCAGGGAACTGGTTGAGTTGTTCAAGTTTCTAGCAGGGCGGTTAAGGTCCATTTCACTTGTTGAGTAATGTATCTGACAATTGAATGACATGTTCCTCTACATGGAATCACCAGTGGGTCACATATACATACACTACAGAAAAATCCCTGATTTCAAACCTTGATAATATGGCAGTGGTAACAACAAAGACACAGTACAGGTTAAAATTCCTTTACACTAGCATTAAATCACATATGCCATTAGAGAGGCACATTGTACTAAAATATAATTCCCTAGCTGTACTTCGCACACCCTCCGATCCGATTACACTGTTGTAGGATACTTGTTGGACAGCTCTCTGTGTGACTGTGTTGGGCGACTGTGAGTCTTTGAGGAGTTGGAGGACCTGCTGAAGTCCCTGCTCATCTGGCTGCCACTCCATCCTGAAAAACACACACAAATGAACATTAATACACCGTAAACAAAACTCCCCATGACTGTCAGCAGGTGCTGGTAGGTCGCAGACTATGCAGTTAAAAAAAAAAATAACCACCTGTGTGCAATGGTTAATATTAATACACACTTAGATCCACACATTCTTATCACTTACATACATTACCGACTGGCTGTAAAGGCAACAAATAGGTAAGCATGTGGTCTCTGGATCAGACAGTATGAATACAAA